CGGACCACGTGTCAGGGGCGGAAAAATGGCCGCCACGTGTCAGGGGTGGAAAAATGGCCACGGACCACGTGTCAGGGGCGGAAAATGGCTGCGGACCACGTGACAGGGGCAGAAAAATGGCCGCAGACCGTGTCACGGGAGGGAAAATGGCTGCGTATCCTGTTCGTACCCCGAGGCAGAGTTCGCAAACCGAAGCAAAATTTTGTGGCCGGAGCTGCTCGTAACCTGAAAAGTTCGTTAACAGAAGCGTTCGTAACCCGAGGTTCCACTGTATTTACTATTCTTGACAGATGGCTGTTCATCCTCTGCTTGAATAAATATATAATATATATCAGTTAAAGCTAGGGGGAGATTCCACTTTGTGTTCTGTGTCCAGTTCTGGTCTCAACATTTTCTCAAGAAAAGGCAACAAGGTGGGGAGGGGGGACACTACAATTTTGAGTCATATGGACTGAGAGATCCCTTCTACATTTTCATCCAAGTTATTCATGTTATTCTACTTGTAAATATCCTTATTCACTCAAAGCATTCATTCAATGCTACTTTTTCTTGGGTATGTCTGAAATTCCTGATGTAGGTTTTTAAATGTAATTTAAATGTTTTTATTTTATTATTCCACCTAAATGCAGCTTATTAAATCTCTGTAGTTTTATATCTAATAATTCACTGGGGAAGCCAATAACTCCGTCCTATCCCTGCCCTTCTGCTGAAGATGAATTTCAGCTAAAGTCTCTATGCTGGAAAATATATTTCAGTTTTTAGGCCTATTTTTTGTGTATCTCTGACATTTCATTGAAACCTCTTTTAAACAAGTTTGCTTTTATTATTTAGATGCAGTTTTCTTTTGCAGCTACAGCAGCACCAGGAAAGGCCAATGATGGCTATTCTATCTCATAGAAAATTTGGACAGAAAAGTTCTGGAATATTAGTCACAGCCTGGCTTGGGTTTCTCTTTTATGGAGCCCTCTTCACTGCCAAAACTGTTACATGGAAAATTGCTGTAAATGAAGGAAAGAACATAATGTTATGGGATAAGCAATTTGGTACAGCACCTCACCAATAACAGCGCACATTGTTTGAAAAAACCGAGTTGCTGAAATTTCTCTTTATATAATACAGTATAGCAAATACTGTGGAGCAGTGGGGTTTCCAAAGAGTTGTGCAGACTTTCATAGCTGAACTCCAGCATTAAGATGGTCCCCTTCCCTTATCACTGAATTATGTACTGAGTAGGCCAGCTAAATAAACCAATTAAATAACATTAATAAATAAATAAAATAAATCCTTGTGTTTGAATAGGGAGGTTTGGCCAATAGCGCAAATGCAGAACTCTAACAGAGACTGGCAGGAAATTAGCTAGCAAGGAAGCAAGAAAATATTTAATGTATTTTTTATTGGTCAACCGATAAGATAAGAACTTAGTGCTAATGATAGAAAATTACAGAATATTAGAAACAGAATAACCAGATATTAAGCCCAAAGCTCTCACTGTGGTGCTTGTTTTGCTGCAGTAACTGCGATTTGATATTTGTGGTTTCATACCTGCATTATGATGGAGACTGGTTATACGCTAGCCATACGCTGATCTAAGATCAAATCATATGATTCAGACATCAGTCTTTGTGTAATTTCATTTCCCGTACATTTCAGATAAGGCAGCCATTTTCTCCTCCCTCTCGAAATTACCCAGGGAGACAGGTGGCTCCCTTTCACTGGATGCTTTGAGCAGAGGCTGAACAGCTATCAAACTAAAGGAATATTTTGTGGTCAAGAAGCTCCGTGACACACAATTTTTTTTCCAAAACTGCAACAATGGTTGGATGATTATTTGAATCCACAGTTTAAATACCTAAGATTTCAATATTTGAATCTTATTTGATGGACTTTTCTCATTAGAAACCCATTCTCTAATTTTCTTAATGTTCTAATACATTTTTATATATAATAAATTCATGAAGATCCTCCAATAGAAGAGGAACAATATTAAATACAATGGCTTTCCTTCTAAAAGATAATAGTAAATTTCCTCTTAATGTCACATACAGTAAATTTAAAGAAAAAAGGAAAGACCTTAGTAGGGAAAAGAAAATATTTGCCTCTTATCATATCCTCATGAGTTTAGAGAACTGTTTAAAGCAAAATCTGCAACCGATACAGTTTCTATGTGGAAAGGTACATACAATTTTTATCTGATAATATATAAAAATGTGTTGCTCTGTTCAGGTTTGTTTTTTTTATCCTTCCAAAGAGCAAATGTATATTATATAACCTCTTAAATCTCTTAATAGTAGTAGTAATTTTCATAGCATTTGTGGAGCTGCTCTACTATTGCTTAGCTCTAATCTAACTAGTAGTTTCACCCAATTCCCAAAACTTCAAACCCACCACGTTGTACTAGTCAAGGGATTATGCTCCAGCTTAGTGCCTTTTATTGTGACTGGGAGAAATGGGAGTCACAAAGCCTACATATCTGCAGGACACCAAGTTGGGAGAAGTAGCAGTTCTTTTTTTATTATTATTATTATAATAAATTTTATTATGTTTTCAAAAAAAGTTAAAATACAGAAAAATCAAGAAAAAGAAAGGGAAAAAAAAAGAAAA